ATCCTGTCTTTTGTGTGGAATTCAAGGTATTAAAGATAATCTAACAGCTATCAGTATGATCCAAATACATATTAGTATTCACACTTTCAAAACTTAATGCTAGTAGATCTAGTACTAAGAAAAAATACGACATAATTCAATTTGAGGATATTTCAACATGAACAGTTTTAAATATTGTCATCAATAATTTTAATTGTAGATATTGAGCAACTATTCCCACAAGAAGAAGCATTTGCCTCCAGGGTACCATGGACGTGTGGCAATATAAATCCAAAGGACAACTGAGGCCTAGTTAAAAGCCACTTTCCTGCACATTCAGTCATAGACTATATTTTTTGTTAACAATAGGACTCAAACTGATTTACATACTAAGGAAAAACTCTGCTAGGAAAATTAATCTTAGGTGTCATATCAATTAAATGCTCATATTACTTAATTGTAATGTTTTTAATGTACTGAATAGGTTAATTTGAATAAATTCACAATTGTTTGAAAATTTTGTTTGTTTATTTTTTTCCTCCCTCCCTCGTAGGTTTTGAACTTTAGATGTGACGTTAAACGTAGAATTAACTTTAAACAGCCTAATTTTATAGCCTCAGTCCACGAACTTTTTGATAACCCCTCGTAAAGGAGAAAATATTCAGTGGATGTAAATATACAGTTTTCATACTTTTGACTAGTATTTACTGATAAAGACTAAGATACTAGAAAGATGCTCAAGGCTTGTAATACAAAGATGCTCAAAATTTCAAATTTTGCAAATACCTTTTGTTTCTTGTAACAATTTTAACGTGAAGTACAATAGTCTCTCATGCACAATTATATACATAATTTTAATGCACAGCAAATTTGATAAAAATGATTATTTTCAGCTAACCAAGAGCAGAATGTCTAAAGGCTTACACAGAAATACAAATGATTATTACCTTAGCTAGTGCACTGTAACTGTTGCTCTGTTTTATTGGGGACTTTTCAAACCTCTGATTCTGGGATGGTACTTTCACTTTCATTGAAGATGGTGGAAGAGCTACCACTGGGTTGTCTGTCCTGACAGGGAGATGTCTGTTGGTCAGTTCTATCTTCAACAGGCCACAAAAACTGTCTGAGATAGCATACCTGATCAAAATACAAAGGTCCAAATGAGATAGCATACCTGTCAGATCAAAGAATAAAGGTCCAAATGACATAGCAACAGATGTCAAAAATAAATAGGAAGCTGAAGGAGGATCAATAGGAACCAACTAAAGACTAAACACATCAAAAGCAACAAATTCTGATCCTTTATACTTAAGTTTCACATACTGAAATTTTAGATAGTTCTTCATGCGTAAAAAAAACAACTCACGAACATCTTTGAATAATCCCCAGTGAGCAGTATTTACATTCCAGTTCTTCATGGTAATCACATCTAAAATGTAAAAACAGCGCTACAACAATGGAAACAAGCTTCATCTTTCAACATGTACCCAGTAATTTGAGTCTGTAAATCTTCACTTTTTTACACAATGACAAATGACCAAAAATGTTCAGATGTAAATTGCTGGTAACAGATTTTTCATTTGGGGCTAGTAATTTTACTGCTGTCATTAGCCCAATTTTTTTTAACTTAGCATTCCTGTTAATAATACCTTGTTTTTGGCTCATAATCCCAAGAATTTGAAGTGAGCAATTCTATAACTCTTGTCTTTGATACAGAATGACCTAAGTGTTGATAAAGGTCTGTGACCATGCCCTCCAATTCGTAAACTTTCTTCAGTCGGTTCGGGATTCCTAGACAGGCTCTCCCATGAATCCATTCCAAACAGTAGGCCGTTTCTTTGATGTCATTACCCTATAAAGCAAAGCAACATTCATCATTACTTTATGACAACACATACTACAAGCTAAAGACAAACATGAATCACAGAAGTAAATTCAGTGTTTATATCTTTTATTAATCTTTTTCATATCTATGATTAAGATGTACCAACCAGACAATAAAATGGAGGGTATTCGGGTTTCTCTCCATTAGGATTTACAAAATTCTCTAATTGGATCCATAATCCTCTGTAATTGGAATCGGCATTCTCAAAATTTTCCATCGGAATTTTATGGTAATCCTCACCTTTTTAAATAAATTAAAATGTACAATCCACAAAAATAAACTATAATTCATAACTGATTAAATAAGGTAAAAAATTTTTCTGGCAAAAGATTAGGAATAAATTGCATTACAATATTCTTACTTTTTTCTTTACAAACTCCTTTATATCCCAGTGGAATTCTTCCTGTAAAAATAGACATAGGTAGTCAAAGATCATCTCCACAAATGTTATATCTAAGAGAGGCAAAATCTAAAACCATATTTATAAAGTTACAGTAAATTACATCCCTAGATACAACTGCTCCAAAAACTGGGACATTAAGGCCAAGGGTATAGACTAAGCATTTTGGAGGTAAGTTAAAAATGCACTCAGAAAAAGTATTGAGAGACAAAGTTTTGATATCTTTCTCAAACTAATGCAGTTAGCCCTTTCATTACCGCTGTCAATCAAACTGCCAAACAAAATTGCCAAAGACTTTTTAATGTTACTCATTGTACACAATCAAGTTAAAACCATTTAAATTTAAAACGATCATGTTTATAAATTCAAAGAGTAAAATGCATTCTATCATCTCATTTAACTGCACACTTTCGTTTTCATATACCGTATAGCGAGTTTTCTTGGCGGGTGTAAAATTTGGCGGTTTGCCTGCTTAAAGGTATGCGAAAATTTTTGGCGTAATTTATTTTAGCAGATGCAGGGTTTCAGCTTTTTGCAGATGGACACTAAAAAGAGAACTAACTATTTCAGCGATTAAAATTTTAGCAGACTATCATCAATACGCCAAAATTAGCACCCCACTAAAATAACCTAAAATAAAATAATATGGTATACACATGTTCTTTACCTGGTTCTATAAATCTGTGGAGTTTTTTACTTATGCCTCGCTTGATGCTGTATTCAATTACGCCGATTTCTGCTGGCAAATAATGGCCATCATCAGTCATACACAGTGTTTGGAAGTTGATTAAATAAAACACCTCATTTGCAACCTCTGAAAAGAAATTGTGTTTAATTTGTTGTAATGAAAAGTATAAGATATAAATGTAATTAAATCAAACATCTAAAATTCTAAGTGCTAGTTTATGAATGTATTGACATGAAACCCTATGAATCTGAACCATAAAGTCTTTATTTTCCTTATTCTAATCCATACATTAAATAAATGCCAGCTGACCTTCTCCAGCGGGCCATTTTTCTCGGACAGACATCCTCTGCTTTAGTCTCAGCTGATCAGTCTCAGCTTCTACATCTACACGTTCCTAGAATGGATCACTTTGTATGTAAAATAATATCATATTTGCTTAGAATATGCAGCATGTTACAAAAGGCCAAAAAATGATGATCAGTCAAGAGCTTGACCTCATGTTCCTATACAGCATATAAACCATTATTGCATAGTTTCAGAACACTTACCGAGAGCAGTTTTCCTTGGTTGTCCATTCTGTAGCAATCACCACTAGCTCCTTTCATTTGCTTTTTATATTCCTTAGCCCTTTGATCATATACTGCCCTCTCTTTATCCGTAAGAGCCTATATTCAAAACAAATGCATGATTGAAATTCTGCAAAACTAAACATGCCCAATTTAAGCCTTTTATTGTATACAGTACCCTGATTGGGTTTTACCTTTGTATGAAGCATGGCAGTACCAAAGTGTAACACTCTAAATAAAATTCAACTCATTGAGTCATATGGAAGAAGAAGATTGATTGATTGATTGTATATTGTTTAACGTCCCTCGAGAATTTTTCACTCATAATGGAGACGCCACCAATTGCTGATGGAGAGCTGCACATTTTGTCCTATACTCGGCACTCAGGGCCATTGAGCAGGGAGGGATCTTTTTCATGCCAGCACCTACTTCGAAAAACCTACTAAACCTCGGTTTATACGGTCTCATCTGAAGGACTGGTCAGGTCTCCACGTCCCACGGTGGGATTCGGACCCGCGACATAAGGATCAACTCTTTACTTCGTGACTTTAGAGCAGACTCTCTACCCACTGCGCCACGCTGGCGACAAGGAGAGGAAGATAAGATAAATAGGCAATGAATTTTTTTGGGGTTTAGACCCCACTTTCAATTTGCTTCCGACGCCTATGTTTAGGCAATGTCTAATTTTGAGTAGATTAAAACAACAAAAAACAAAATTTCATGATAGAGGATATAGAATCAACAATTTATTTTTTATGAAGCACATGCCAGGACTGCAAATAAATTAGGCTTATACAAAATTAATAAAGTACCTTCCATCGAGGGTGTGCAATGGGAACAACGTCTTGGATTCCATTAGGAAAAACACGTCCTTCTTTTCTAAGCGATGGCTCGATGTCCTTCATGAAAAAGTAAAACCCATTTCTAGCAGGTTTCTTCGGCATGATGCCTATCTTTATCCTCCAAACCCCGCGTGTTCGGAAAAAATCTTTCGCCTGACAATCGCGGGAAATGAATCAGTGTTACGCTATTGTATGCATGCCGATCCCGATGAGAATTAAACAGAATAGACCCCAAAGTCACTTACTACATAAAAAAAAATTGTTCGTCGATTTATTTAACTTATGCATGCCTTTCTTCTCATAAATCACTGACTACTTTATCACTTTCATAACAAAGGCGCACCAAGATTAAAAAGACAGTCACAAATATTTTTTATGTAGGTAAACTAAAAAGAAACTAGCAATTTACTTTTTATTACTTTAAATAAATCTGTACATAAAATTCATTGAACGGAAATTATAGGTTTTAAAGCTCTTTACTATGGTCAATAATTTGTCAATAATATATACATTACACATGCTCTTTATTCATATCCAAAAAGAAAAAAAAAAGATACAGTAGTAAGTTATTAATATATCGAAAGGAGATCCGCTATTTGATTGGGATCTCGAGGGTGATTGGGAGATTCTTCCTGTTTATTTGACCAATCTTTAAGAATAATTCTTAATTAAATCCAAACAAAAATTCAATTTGGCGACATAATCAATTGTAAAAGATGATTTCTTGGGTTCTGTGATGCTATAAACATTCATTTAAATATAAATGAAAATAAATGAATAAATAAATACACATGTAGGTATATTATTCATAACTTTTCAAAAGTTATGGTAAAGGTTAAAGTTTTTTTTTAAAAGGAGGTCAAACCAGGCACGTAGCAACAGGGGGGGGAGGGGAGGGGGCAGGGGGCCTGCCCCCCCCAATTTTTTTCCCAACAGTACCTGTACTATTGAAAATGTTCATTGAATTGTTGGTTGCCCCCCACCCCCCATCCCCACTTCTTACCACAGTTAAGGGATATCAAGGAATTGTGGTATTGTATGCAAAAAAATTTGATGTCAAAGAAAGTTGGCATTGAAAAAAGTTGGCCACTCCCCCCCCCCCCCCCCCCCCCCCCCCCGCCTCGAAAATAGGATTTTCGAGCTTGGGCAACCCCCCCCTTTTTTTTTACTTGTCAACAGGTAAGTAAAAAAAAAATCATCTCGAGCCCCCCCCCCCCCACTTTCAAAAACGATGCTACGTGCCTGCAAACTCAGAGGTCAAGTTAAAGAGTAAAAAAAAAAATATGTCGATCCTTATAGAAAGATCTTGTCACAATAAATATACACGTGAAGTATTGATTTTAAGCTTTAGCAATGACTGTTCAAAAGTTTGTGAAAATTTAAAGATTAAAAATTTTGAGCAAAAGTGGGTCCATCTCCAAGGTCAATGCCAAATATATTGGCACCCAGATTTTATTAGAAGGAATACATATGTCAAATATGAAAGTCATAGCTCCAACCAATCAAAAGTTATGGGCAAGGTTAAAGTTTTGCGGACAAATAGACAGACAAACAAACAAGCAGACGGTCATGATGAAAACTAACACCCCTCCCCGAATCATCGATTACGGAGGCATAAAAATACGGCCGTGGTTACCGTTGGCGGATCTAAGTTACTAGAAATTTTTAATGGGGCCAAACACAACCAAACATTTGATTATTTTAAAATGTATATGCCTGTAATTTAATGTAACCACTGAAAAGCAATATTGTATATTTAGATTCTATTATAAATCCTCAAAATACAGAGAAGATTCTCGACCTCTGAGTCACTTCAAACCTTTCTGTGCAATTTTACAGCAAGCCTCATTTGTTTAATCTATTGTAAAAACAATATATTTTGTATTGTATAAAATCGTTCTTTTTGAATAGAAAGTATTAATTACAAATATTAAATCTGCAAAATGGATGAAACTGGATCCCCGCTTGAAACTCTTCCTGTAGTAGGTCCAATCAAACAAATGGTTTTGCATATTTATTTTGCTCTTGTTCGGCGCAGAGATCCAATGAAAAGATAAAAATTACGGATGGCTGAACACAGACAAAATGAGCATAATTTATTGACGTGCAGATTTTATGATCCGTTTTGTTTACATTTAAAGCTACTGACTTGACATGGATAGCATTTTGCACCAATAAAAGCAATGTCGTGAATAAATAAACTCAATTCTAACATGGTGACAATAAAAAGATGGAGGTCTATTTTCAATGTGACAAACAGGATGTACTTATTAGGAGTTTTATCCGTTCTTGTTCTATATCAGCTTTGGGACCAGAATCGTCAGTTGTCCAAATTTTCCAACTCTTTCAGAAGGATAAAAAGGGATATGTTCTACTTCTTTAACCCCACCATTCTCGTGAATATTAATACCAGTTATCCAGACCAAAAAGTTAAAAGTCATGTTGACCAACAAAACTACGTCTTTCAGGCCAGTCATATTCGCAGGACAAAAACCGGAAGAAGAATAGCAAGACCTTTTTCGTGTAATTCTTGTTTTGTTCACAACTTTGACTATGTTTTAAACAACAGAGACATTTGTAATACAAATAATGGCGATGCTTCTATTTGGGTTGTTATCCTGATCTTTAGCACACATGCAAATTTTAACAGAAGAAAAGCTTTGAGAGAAACATGGCTTCTACCATCTAGACGTAATCTAGGCAACTTTCGTTATGCTTTTCTTTTAGGAATGTCTCAAAACAACAGTTTACAATTGGAACTTGAGAAAGAAAGTGCAATTCATAAAGATATTGTTCAAGAAAATTTTATTGACAGTTATTTTAACCTCACCTATAAAGCAGTAATGGCTATGAAATGGGTCAGCACGTACTGCAATGAGGCTCAGTATATGATGAAGACAGACGATGATATGTATGTAAACACGGATTCTCTAAAAATTGCTCTTGATCAGTATGAGGACCTTTTATATGAATCCATTGGAGGATATTGCTGGACGAGGGCAACTCCTCTGAGACAAAGAAGTTCTAAATGGTACGCATCGTACCGGATGTATCCACAGAAGATCTATCCGGGTTTCTGTTCCGGAACCGGATATGTAACTTCGGTTCACATGGCTAGGAAATTGTTTGAGATTTCCCCTCATGTTCCCTTCTTCCACCTAGAGGATGTGTATATGGGGCTTTGTGTCTATGCTCTTGGTCTGACCGTGACTTCGATCAAAGGGTTCAATTTAGACCGTGTCCCCCTTGGTTGTGACTATAAAAGCAAAGCAGTGATTACTTCACACCAATTAGAACCGGACCTTCTTATTTCAATATGGCATTTAAATTGTTAACAATAACTAGCCAAAACTGGGTGCGTATCATTACCGCTACATAGTCATTACCGCTACTATGGAACGCCATCACTGCCTTATAGCATACAACTATGCATTTATTATGTCAATTTATCATTACGTGATGTGAACATATCTTTACGTTATGTCCATTTTTTATGAGATGATGTAAATATATCTTAACATCATGTCAATGCTGCATTACATGAAGTAAATACATCCTTTCATTATGTCAGCACTTCATAACTTGAAGTAAAAAAATCATTATGTGAAGTGATAATGTGTTTACATTGTGTTAAAACTTTATTGCATGAAATGAATTTTTCTTTACATCATTTCATTTCTTTAATATGTGAGGTCAAAATTGCTTTACGTCAAGTAAATTGTGTTTTATAATTAAACTTACCATTACATGAAGTCAAAAGCCCATTCCTTTTTGAAAGTGTATATTTCTATTTTATCAAAGCATTATTACGTGATATGGATTTATCTTTATTTTACGGCGAGGGCATCATGATGTGAGGTGAACACATCGTACCTTTATGTCAGTGCTTTATTACGTGGTGTAAAAAGGGTATAACATAATGTGAACATATCTTTATATTACATCAATACTTTATTACATTATGTCAAAACTCCATTCCGTGATGTGGATATATAATTACGTTATGTCAACTCTTTCTTATGTGATTGAAAAAATATCTTTATATTGTGTTAACTCTTTATCATGTTGATTCCAAAAGTTCATTAGCTGATGTTAAAAAAACATTTACATTATCTCAAAGCTGTATATCTAGTATATAATGAATGTTGACGACCGTTTTTAATGACTGGTAAGAAGGGGGGGGGGGTCCTGATTGATTAGGACAAATTATAGGCACATAATATCAACCCCCCTCTTTTTCCAGACATACTAGTAACTTGACTATAGAAAATGTAATGTTCATTGAAACTGTACAGCCCCCACCCCCACTTTTTGTTGAAGTATAATCCACTAAGGGTAATGTAATATATCTGGAAAAATATAGGACTGATCGAAGTTGGACCCCTCTCCCCGAAGTAGGATTTTCGGGCTTGCACTTTTTTTTCTTGGCTTGTCAATTTTTTTTCGGGTAAATGATTTTTTTTTTCTGGCTGACCTCCTCTTTCAAAAAAAGATGCTACGTCACTGGAGTTAGTAATTTTTTTTTAATCATTCCAGGGCCAGAATTCTATTACAAAAATCTACCAGTCGCTCATCTAAATCAATTGAATATGCCTTAGTAAGCATGCATGGGCACATATCAGTGGCAGATATGGGAATCTTGAACAAGGAAGGGGGACGGTATATGTTGGAGACCAAGAGCGGAAAGCGGAGAAGCTCTCAGGCTTTATAGTTTTATAGAAAAAAGTTTTCAACTTAATTCAGCTAAGCTTACTGTGAAACTAATGCAATGTCCTTCAAAGTTTAAGACTTTTATTACAAAAAAAATTCAAAATAAACAGAAAAAAAAATGATTGCTGCACGACTCATAATATTTGATTCAAGATTTGTCAATCATTTGTCGCTTAAAGTTTTCATTTAAAGATGTCATTCCCAAATCGCTGAGAATCTCTTCTACGACAGTTTTCTCTCCCGCCATTTTTAGTGCTTGCGGAACGCGGAAAATACGTTATGCTCATATAAAGGCCGAGGATACCCGTGTTCGCATAACGTAATAGTGAATCGACATAATGTAGAAGAGTGCGCACAGTATGGCATGAGCTTTTCACATCAGTTAATAAAAACTAAGATCTCATGAAAAGTAAACATAACGAAATGCAAGTTGACGAAATATAATTGTAGGATGTGTTAAGGAGTTAACACGATGCAATAGTAG